CCGAAATGTACCCGACCGCCATCAAGAGCACGTGCCACGGCTTCTCGGCCGCCATGGGCAAGGCGGGTGCGTCTATCGGCTCGTACGGCTTTTCGCTCTGGGTCACCAACCCGAGCTTTGGCTACGTCGGCACGTGGTACACGTTCGCGGCCATCTCGGCGCTCACGATCGTCCTCACGGTGTTTTGCATGTTTGACAACAACGACGACCACTCGAAGCTCGACAGCGAGTTCAAGGCCCTCCTCGCCCGCGAAGACGCCGAGACGCGCAAGAGCTTTAGTGACGACCCGTACGTCCACGTGGAGGCAACGCCCAATGTCCAGCAAGTCGTCTAAGGGACAGTTCAATGCTAGTACCACCCTACATCAACGAATACCGTCTAGGCTATAAAGACGATACAATACCCAACTGCGTTTTACGGAAACCAACGATCCATTGTGTTGACGGAGCCAACGCGTCGCTAGGAGGAAACGAGCTGGGCCCATGAATGTGAGTACTGGTAGGTCGTTCTATATGGCTAGCTCGTGGCGGAAGCACCGGCATAAAGGGTGCTTTGAGAGGGCTGGTTCTGTTGTAAGTATGACCTGCAAGATTTGCGAGAGAGGTTTGCTGGCGAAGCTTGACAGCGATGAGGATGACGTCAAGATACGTCATGGCCACGTCGCAGTCGAGGCGCTCGCTCGAATCACGAACTACTACAATGTTCGATCGATACTCCTGGTGGCAGCCAGCCTCCAAAGGTCGACGGTCACTGCTCCGCCATGGTGTTGCAATGCAGCGCCAGTAGACGAGAGTCCACCAAACCATTTCAGAGCCCTGCATTTGAGCATTGCGGAGGTTAAATACATGCGACTTTTTGCTTAGCGGAAGAAGCGGATCTTCTGACTGCTGGGCACGGCCGCCGACTGGTCGCAGGCCTCCATGCGCACGACCGGCGTCGCTCCATCGACGATCGCGAGGCAGTTGCGGCGAAACATAGCGTGCTCCAGCCGGCGGTGCGCAAAGGTCCACGTCTGCTCGGGCGACGACGCGTTGCAGACCGCGCCGTAGACGCGCAGCACCGAGGCTGTGTACGCCGCTTCGAGGCAGAGGTTCGTATGGTCGTTGCGCAATAGGTCGCCGTTGATGCGGTAGAGCTTTTCCCACTCGCGCTGCGCCGCCGTCGTGTTGACGCCCAAGGCCGTGCCACGCATCGTGATGCTCCACACGAGCTCCGTATCGTCGTCCTTCTTGCGGTTGCCGAGCCAGCCCATGATGTCCGAGTTGTTGAAGCCCGGCGGATCGGTGAGCGCGGCCACTGCGGCCACGAGCGATGCCAGGAGCAGCAGAGCCAGCCTCGTCATGGTCGCTTGTACACAAATCCTATAAATTGATATTGCGGCTCTTTAAACCTCCGATAGCACATACCCTTCTAGAATCTATATTATGGATGGTTTTGACCCGCTCCGACGACACGTGGCAGGCTGTGTGGCAGGGCCTGGCGATCGCATCGCCAATCTCACCCTTTGTATGGAAACGCCATTGTATAAAATATAGGAGGTTTGTTCATTTCGGCACATGCCACATTTAAAAACACAGTCGAGCGCAGCAGCCTGGAGGCCGGTGGCGACGAAATTCTTGGGGTCGCGCTTGGTGACGATATTGTTGTCCGCCGTGGCACCTCTGCTCTTGCCTTTTCACCTTGGCCCATCCCCGGTCTTGCAAGGGCGTTGCTATATAAAGTCCTACAATAGTATTATAGCGACAACGTCCATTCTACTACACTGTACCCAGATTCGCTGCCGGAGGGCATCGAATCTGGTGTCGACCGCTGCGTCCAACGGCCCGTAGGGCGATATTCGGATCGAGTGCTTTGCGGCGCCATTTTATATTTCAATTTTTACTTTCTTCGCGCTGTACATTATACTACTACCTTAGCGCAACATGTCTTACTGCGTCTCGACGTTGGCCGCGTACTCAAAGTCCAAATTCATGTACTGCATCGAGCGCTCGTACACCAAGAACGTGACGGCCGAGACGGGAAATGCGCGGAGGATCGTCGCGCCAAAGCCGCGGAAGAGAAAGCCGGCTCCTTCGAGCTTGTAGTGGTGCTTGACGACGTCGAGGGCCGAGAGCGGCGACGTTGCCGGCTGGCTCTGCACCAGCGTCTTGACGACGTCAATGGGCTGCGTGACCATCCATGAGATCGAGCCCGCCGAGCCGCCGGCGAGAAGGAGGTTCATAGTTGTCTCGTTTTCGGCACAGCCGTCCGTGAGCCAGTGCTTGAGCAGCTCGTACGAGTAAAAGTACGAGCCAAACGCGGGCACGTCACGGAGCATGTTGAGCTGCCACCCGCGGTAGAGGCCCTTCATGCCTTGGCTTGCCCAAATGTCCTTGGCGCACGTGATGGACGAGTACGTGCTTGGGTAGTTGTTGACTTGCATGGTGATCTTGACGAGCTCGGCCGGCGCCGCGAACGACACTTGGAAGAGGCCGGCCGCCGACCCCGCAATGAGCTGCTCGCTCGGCGTCAGCTCCTTCTTGTCTTGGAGGAAGAGGCGCGAGACTTGGCCGTACACGGCGAAGACGACGGCGTTGATCGGTGCGTTCGACA